CAACTGCATTGTTTAAAACTTAGAAAAAATAAAATATTTATTCAGTTATCTGTAACCTTTTGCAAAAATATTGTATAGTGTGTACACTTTTCCAGACTTCTTATTCATGACAATTCAGTATTGTTTGAAGAGTTTATAAGGATATTCACAACAATGTTGAAGCCTTGTGTTGTGTCTGGTGTTACAAGCATAACACATACAAAGAATGACACAATATAGAAAAAAGAACATTTATAGTTTATTTAAAATTATGGAAAGTAACAAATAGAAACTAGTTCTTGTAAAAATTCAACAGTTAACAATGTTAAATATTGCAACTGAGGAAGATTAACATTCCTCTGGATCTAATGAGGCTTGCCTGGTATATTTATAATAATGTGACTCCTCCTAAATCACTGGTTGCACTGTCTTCTAAATGGTACCAAATGAATTATCTCGGTCCTACAAAGGTAATGTTTTTCACCACACCCCTTGGGGAACCTGGAGATTTCTCCTAAACTGCTGGACTCATCAACTTCTAAATGGTGCCAAATGAATTGCCTTGGTCCTGAGGTTTGCTCAAAGGTAACACTTTTCACCTAACCCCTTAGTGAACCTGGGTACTTAGCAAAAACACTTTTACCAGGATTCCTGGAAAATGGACCCCAAATGTTGTATTGATTTATATTAGGGCACGTAAATAAGTAGGCCTACTAATTACTGTTCTTAACTTGGGAAAAGAAACTAAAATTACATCATAGTGGCAATGATCATTAAACTGAAAGTGTAAAATAGTAGTTCAAGCATTAAATTTTCATTATAGGAGCCCTGTAAATGTGGGCCATAGAGCCACAGGTTCACTAACTCAAAATATAACCTACACCACTAAACAACCTTTCTGCAGGGATGCTGGAGCTGCCAGATATTTAACTGCAAGTTGCTAAATTGTGGGTACAAATGGGCACTATCTGCAAAGAATCTCAATGAATGACAGTCGCTTGTTCTTCAGCAATCATTTCAGGAGATTTTTATACTGTGGGCTCATTCTTATTCTTGTAAATAGATGTTAGCAGCTTTAATCTAGCAGTGATATTTTTCTTCATTGGTACTCCTTGAACTTCCTGGGCACTCTGGTTTATCCAACTTCATTAGTACTGCATATATGGGTTGTTGTTGCTCTACAGTTCTTTTCAACATGGCATAAATGCTGTTCCACATAGTCTTGCAACAGAGAATTGGCTTGTGTTCTGGTAAACCAAATTGTTTTTGTTTGTTTACCAGATAATACTTAGCAATAGCACTTCGTTGGAAATGCTCAGCCAACTTATAACAGTGTGTGGTTACCTGGTCCATTCCTACATTTAGTCCTTTCTTGATAACTAATTTCAAGGTATGGCCAAAGCATTGTATTAACTTTTAATCCATGTTACTAATACCTTTCACACAGTTGAAAGCATTGTATGACACAGTTACTTCAATCTTATTCAAGATATCCCAACTTTATAGAAACTGAGTAACAGCCCGAGCTGTGTGATGTGGTTTAAGCTCATGGTTTTGAGGAATATAGCTTTTCAAAACCCAGTGTTGGTTTATGAAATGAACAGTCAAACCATGCTACTGGTCATTTGCTCCAGAGATCCACATGTGAAAAGTAATGATTACATCACTTTTCTTAGAATTGGTCCATAACTTCTTGAATACTGGTGTACAGTTTTGGGATAAGACTCCCACTTAATTCTTTTCTTGATAGTTCTTGGTATTTCAGGCAATATTCAAGCAATATTATAAAGCCAGATTCTTTCACAGTTTACAATGGATGAGTGACCTTAAATATATATAATATCTGTTACCTTTTTCTGCTTTATGTTCTCCTTAGGATACTTAGCTTTAGCTGTTAAAGACTTTTGTATAGTTTACTGTCTTTTCATTGACTGTTGTACAGATGTTGAACTTTCAGTACTGTAATTAATTTTGCTGATATTTGGTGATTGTAAGAAGGAGATAGTGATTCAGTTTGTCTTTTCTTGCTGGAATTTTAAATTTAGTGCTTTGACGCATCTTCCTAAATGCAGCACTGTGGAGAAGTTGTAAATGGTTTTGCATGTTTGTAGTATAGTCTCTAAATTTCTACACTGCCTGACAATGTATGCACACATTCGTTATGATGATCTTCCTGATAGCTGAAATTTTCCCTTACAGCTGATATATCTTTATCTCACAAAAGATTCTACTTTGCAAAACAAGTCTTGTTCACTCCTTTGCTCTGCCATTGCTAATGATTGTTCTCTGTACACACTATCACTATAATTGTAAATTTAACACACATCACACATGATTTTATTTTTATGAGCAACTAACATATGGATTGGATGTAGGTTTGAGAATATTTTTAGGCTAATAACTTAATCAGTTTTCACTAGTATAGTAAAGGGTACTTGCTGCATGGCCAATCAGTTGAGAAGAGTATAGAATTATTACAAGAACTGGGATATTTATTACTAAGTAAACTAATTCTTCATTTAAATATCATTGCTGTTAAAAAAAATGTATAGCATTGTTACAAAGCACTGAATTTAATACACTATTTATTAAATAAACTAATTCTTTGTTAAAACATTATTGTCCTTATTTTCATGTGATAAAACAAAACTATTCTTGTTACAGTGTGATGACGTATAACTCAATGAAAATAAATTCACTCCGATCCTATAAAAACACAGTACAACAATTACTATTTGACAAGAAATTGGAGAAAACTTGTGATGATAGTGATACTAATGTTCTTTTTAAAGATATTGCAATGATTCATAAGGTGTAAAATCATTTTACAGCAAATCTTCATTCATTAGTCAGCTAGGCCGTATATTTTGTTTTACACACTATCATCTCCAAAGTTGACCAAAAAATGCAGCCTGGCTAGCCCATGAATGAATATTTGCTCTAAAATTCTTATCAATGCTATAAGTGTAGCTACTAGTTTGGCCATCAATTTTGATTTCATTCCTTTAAGTTGCACACTCAATCCTTTTTTGGCTGCACCTTTTTTTTCCCCCAATTAAGGTGTTTTTGATTAGATATCATGATTTTTTTTGTCAATACACATCAACAAGTAAGAAAATGACATTCAGTGGTAACCAACATAAGATTTAGGATTGCCACCCTATTATTTGGAACAGACCTACATTACAGAACCAACCAGATTGTTTAAGATATATGGTGGTAGTTTTTCTTATCTAAAACAGTCTTAATAACTTCCTTATAGTAATAATGGCTGGAGATGGCTTAAATGGG